AGTACTGAGATTATAGGTGTGTACCACATGGCCAGCTATAATATACTTTTTTTTGGAGGTGTAAAATTCAGCATGTGGGGAAATTCAGGCCATCTGTGTTTTATACTGTCACGGTGTTGGGAGCCACAGTTCCCAGTCAGCCAGTCAATCACAAGGATAAAAAACTGACACTATAGTGTACAGTGTTGTTAACCTCTGATGTTTGGTAGCGTAAATGCATTTCCAATTTATGATATTCACAATTTATGATGGATTTGTCCATATCAAATCCCATGATAAGTCAAGGGCTCTGGTATAGCCAAACTTATGGTCTGTTTGGAGAATGTCCCATGATAATGGAAAAGAATGTGTATCCTGGAATGGTTGGGTATAGTTTTTGAGAAATACCAGTTAAATTGAGAAAGTCTAAATGGGGGTTAACAAGCTTTTCCTGGGAGGGTCAGATAGTAAGTATTTTAGGCCTTTCAGACTCTATGTCTGCCACATCTACTCTGTTCTGCAAAAGTAGTCATAGACAAGGTAACCATGGAAGATAATGGACAATCCCTAAATGTACTGGTGTGGCTGTTTTCCAAGGGAAAACAGTGTGGTCTGTCTTGTGGCCTCCTCCTCCATGCAGCCTCGCTTGATTTTGCTCAGGAAGATACATGACTCCTAACCTCCAGATGGTAGGCTAATACATGAGTATTGCTTTAATACATTTGTTGTAACAGAAAAAGAATACAACACTAATTTTGAGGTCATCCTTTCTATAGATCCCTTCCCTTCAGGATTAACTCCTCCCCGCCCACCCGCCCCAACTCTTCAGTTCTGAGCCTCAAAACACTGTTTTCTGTTCTCTTCAAGCCCCCGCCCACCCGCCCCAACTCTTCAGTTCTGAGCCTCAAAACACTGTTTTCTGTTCTCTTCAAGCCAATTAGGCTCTGGTTCCCTGAAGTGGGAGCTGCGCCTGAATTGGGGGTTGCCCTCAGGTGAAAAGCCGCACATTCACAGGTCTGTTAACTTCCTTGAGCTACGCCTCCGGCCCTGATTTCATCTCTTAAGGGTTGTTTTCACTTCAGTTCCAATGGCCTTCAAATAATTTTTTTGAAAAAGCTTTGGCTCATATCTCCTGGTTGTTATAAGTCCACATTAGTCCAATGCTGGATCCTCACTATACTCTTGTCTACTTTTATGTTTGCAATTTTCCATGATAATCAGGAAAAAAAAGAAACGAGAAAAAAATCGGTAGAGTGGGAGCTCTTAAATTTTCCCATTCTTGCGTGTCTGAAGCCTAAAAATGAGCTGCCCTCTCTTAATGTGGCGCTTAGGAAGGTTTGTCCCCTCACTTGCAGTTCCCCACAGTCACCAGCAGGGGGAAAAGTAGTTTTTGTTTCGCGTGGATCCGGACGCCGGGCGGCCAATTCCCTAGGCAAAGGGAAGCAGGGGATGAGCGCGAGGAGACCTGGCTCAGTGGTGGGGGGACCCTGGGCTCTAGGAGCCGCTCGGGACGCACAGGACCCGCGGAACTGGGTACATATATTCCCAGTACCCCTCTCTTTCGGGTAACTTGGCTGGGACGCCCTGCTGACCGCCCAGTCCGGGACTCAAGGCTGCAGCAGGGCAGGAGGGGGACCAGATGAGCTTGCGCCTGGGTCCCAGTATGGTTTGAGTGACCGTCCGTCCACATCCACGGGGGATCAGTTGAGCCCGCGCCCGGGTCCCAGTGCGCTGGAGCTGAGCACTCGCCCGCATCCGTGGAGGACCAGGTGAGCGCGCGGCGGATCCCGGGGGGCCGCGTCCCAGTCACTCCAGGGTCGGGGTCAGGGTCCCGGGGCAGGGCTGAAGCAGTCAGGGAGCAAGCTGGGCTGAAGCGGGAGCTGCGCGCGCTCCCGATCGCCGCTGTCCCGGTAGCACAGCCGCGTCTCCAAGAGCCTCGGCCGGGCGATCGCGGAAAGGACCTTCTTCTACCAAGTGTCCTCGCCGCGTGACGGTAGAAATGTCCTGAGAACCAGACGCGCGAGAAGGAGCGGTGGGAGAGCGGCGCCTTCCCTAGAGCCCAGCGCCGAGATTCCCTGTGGACTTTGGCTGGCGCACAGCCCGGGCCGCGGGCCCCCGGGTTTGGAGTCACCGCATGGGGAAGTGAGCCGCGCGGGGACAAACAGCCGCCACCCGCAGGAAACTGTAAGAGAAAGTCAGTGAGCTTGCACTGAGTCAGAGAGATTGCAAACGGAAAACAAAGACTAGAAAGGACAGAAGCAAAGTCGAGGGGAGTTAAAAGAACACGCGTGAAAGCGGCTCGGTGGTCAGTGGGTGACCGACACCCGCGGGGAGGGCGCGAACTTGGGCAGAGGTCACTGGGTTCGGATCCTTTGGTTACGGCTGGTGCTTTAATTGAGGCTCTCCTTCCTGGTAGAATAGAAATGTTGCAGCCCGCTGGCAACAAGTTTTCTTTTCTTTCTTTTTTTCTCTTTTGACATGTGACGGAATGAGAAGATGCAAACGTTTAATTGGTTTAGATCAGTTGCAAGGTGCCCGTTTTTGTTGAAGAACATCCAAAGAGGAATGTCTAGAAAAGCATTCGTGTTAAAAAAAAATTATACCCAAGTGTTGCAAAACGTACAGTAAACACTTTCTTCACTCTAAGCCTCAGTACTGTGCACTACTACTCTAATTATATTTAAATATATTCAAGAAGGGGTCTATTTGTTTTAGATAGCTAACAACTAGTTGAAAATAGATGGGACTATAAAATATTTCAGTAACTTGAAATACGTGCAGTTTTGCCAAATACACGAAAATGAGTGACATAATCTCGTGGCCGGTGCAGCTGCTATTCCAAAGACATGGGGTAGGCTAGGCTGCTGCCCCTTCCCAGTTCTTGCACTTGGAGTGGGGCTCCACTCACACCTGTGAGCCCACCTGCAACACCCAGCCCTGTTTCCCATTCTCAATCTGCCAGTTCGGGCTCCTCCTGTGCACATCTGTGAAAACACATCCTATTTTTTGTTTAGAAACTTGTCCAGTTTGCATAGTGGTTTAAAAAATTTGGAAGGAGGAGGAAAAGAGGGTTACTTTTGTGTGAGTCCAGCATGCAATAGAGTTCAGCGGTTGAAGGGGTTGTTGACTGAATGGGGAAGAGGAGGATGGGAGATGGGAAGGTGGGTGTGGTGACCTCCTTTGAACTTGGAATGCTATTTCTTCCTAAATGGCAAGGTGTTGGGAACAGGCACTCCCACTCCATTGTGCTTGGAAGGCACTAGGGGTTTTTCTGTAGCAGTGTTTGTATGAATTTATGCAGGGGCCTCAACATTTTCTCATAAGCCTCAGAACTTTGACTCCCAGTACCTCAGAGCCCACAGGTGCTCGTCGTTAACCCTTTAACTTGAATTGACTTTAGTATATTTATACGGCTCTGATAGAGGTTAACGATTAATCAGGACGTGTGCTGTTATATAGATGTTAAAACAAGAGATGTTATAATGTAGTTCCTTCTGTTCACATTTGGGCTGGAGCCCAAAATACCACAGAAACTTTGTGCAAGTAGGGTAGAGGTCTGCATTTTTTCTAATGTGTAAACATGCTGGAAGTGGTCTTTGCTATCTCACCAGGAACCTAGGCTCCTTTTCTTTTCTTCTCTACTATCCTCAGCTTCCAGATTGTCTCATGGATGCAAGATGAGTGCTGAAGTTCCAGTCATCACAGCCGCATTTTAGGGAGGAACAGGAGAAACGGAGGACAGGAAGGTACAATGTAGCTAGTAAGATTTAATCACTTTCACTTAAATTTTGTAATAGATTGTCTGCCAGTCACTCCTGTGGGTCATGTTACTTTTCCTATCAAGAAGTGGAATTTAATCTGGGCGCCAGTGGCTCACACGTGTAATCCTAGCTATTCAGGAGGCAGAGATCAGGAGGATCGGGGTTTGAAGGCAGCCCAGGGAAATAAGTTCATGAGACCCTATCTCAAAAATAGCTGACACAAAAAGGGCTGGTGGAGTGCTCAAGGTGTAGGCCCTGAGTTCAAGCCCAGGTCCTGCAAAAAAAAAAAAAAAGTGGAATCCCCTTAAGTCAGGGCTGTTTTTTTTTTTTTTTTTTGAGACACGGTCTCACAACATAGGTCTGGCTGACCTCAAACTCACTGTGTAACCCACTATGACATAGCATGTATTGGAAGGCCTTTTGAGGTCTTGGGGGGAGCGGCTTTTTTTGGGGTGGCCCTTTTTTTTTTGGGGGCGCGCGGGGGCCCCTCAACCGTTCCCCCCCGTCCAACAAAATAGAAAAAATAAAAAAAAAAAAGAAAAAAAAAACCCCCCCCCCCCCGCCCCCCCCTCCTTGGGATCCCACCCCCCCCACTCAACTAGTGTAAAAAAATAGACTACGGAACTCTCTGAAGTAGAGCTGTGAGTGCGCGCGTGCGTCTACTGCCTTGCCTCATATAGTC